CACTCTGTAAAATATAATAATAATATAATAATAATAATAATAATAATAATAATAATAGTAATAATACGGCGAGTTTCGCGCTCACATGCGTCGTTCTATCACTCGTTCCCCGGTGTATTTTCATGGGAGTCCGTCGCATACGAACGATGCACGTGTTGCTCGTAGCCGCATTAACATCCAGAGACTGGTGACAAAATAGAGGGGAAATAAGTACAACAACAACTATTGTAGCTTATGATGAGAAGTATATCTTATTGCCGAGCCTCAGACGCGGAAGATTATACATCCATTATTTAGATAAAATTCAGGATGATCCTCATGGGTGGGAGGACGGGCGGTGGAATTTGACGGTCCTAACGAGCTGTACGTATTAGATTTTTGGCAGTGTCGTCTCGCTTCGGGCCCGGCGGTGGGGCCGGAGAAGCTTCGCATTTGTGCGTGGATCCCTTGTCCCGGAACGAATCCGGATTATGATTTCGCGGAAGCGTAAAACGTAATTAGGCTCTTTATCGGATAGGCTTCTTCGGAGTGAACGTTGTTCCTCCTCGAGCGGGCTCGATTATATCGCGAATGTAGACGGAGGTATCCGCCTGGAATATACCATATACCGCTCGACGGGGGTATATGTACCCCGTATATGTACTAATTACGGAAGTTGTTACGCGGAGGTCGGTTGTGTGACGATCACGACGGATCTCTTCGGCTCGGAGACGCGTGACGGAAGAACGATCAGCGAGGGAAGAAGAAGAGATGCATGTAATTCACGGGATAAATATATACACGTGTATCTGTTGTGCGTCCTGTGATCGATTAAATTATATCGCAGGAAAAGACGTAGGAGATACAAAACTTCTGCCCTCAGCATTCAAATGATGAAGGATACTACTCTGGTTCTGGGCCACGGTGTAATCACATATATATATTCTTGTATCTCCTACATTTTCCGAACCGATCAAATTGATCATCCGCTTAGAATTTAATCTGCATATGTCGTTTAAGAAAAGAAAACGCTTGTGGATGACAGTCGAAGCGATCGTTCATTCTGTACGATCCGGACGCAGACTCGAAGTAAGGATTGATATCGGTATATAATTTCGCTAAGTTCTCGCTAGACACAAAATGTCGCAAGCCAGCAAAGTAGACGCGCGTTAACACAATTATCGCGACGACTGTACACAATTATTATCTATATACATGATCCATGAGTTTACACAAGTGCAAGGTACTACCACGCTACACCTCTCCCCTCTCTCTCTCTCTCTCTTTCTCTCAGTCTCTCTCTCGCGCGCTCTTTCTCTCTCTTTCTCTAAATTATAAGTGCGACAGACAGACGGACAAGACATGTATTGTAGCGAAAAGTGATTGTAAAACTCGAAAGGGTCTGAGGCCACGGCAACTGAGGTATCTGTGAACAAACGCATTTTCACCGTCGTTGATTTAGTTTTCGTGCATGCATAGTATGATCGACGGATCCGGGCCGTTGTCACATGCACAACGGAGCCTCTTTCTTTTTTATTTATTTATTTACTTCTTTTTTTTTTTGTTCTCTTCCATCACTTAACGGCTTAATAATTTGTCGTCGTTTTTATCTTCGTTTTGATATCCCTTAACTACCGGTAATCGTTCCCGTCCATTAAATCGAAGACGCGATTTTTTTTCTTTTTTTTTCTCCTTTTTCTTTTATGTATTTGTATTTCGTTTTGTACTTGTACTGTTCAGCAAGGCAGCGTGTTGCACTTTGTTTACATTATAATTATAGTCGGGCCGTGATTGTCCACCGAAGATTCCACAACGTCGCGAAATTGTGCGGGAATTCTTGTCGAGAAGCGTTGATCCGTTACGTAAAAACTTAATACGGATTCATGTTGACGGCGTCATTTTCTATTACAATTAAATCGCTTCAATGAGTAAGTTGACATTGATACGATGGGATGTAAAAAGCGTCGGTGCAACTCGAATCTCGATATAATGTGCTGCGAAATAATTCTGGAAAACCAACGCAGCTTGCAGCGATAATAAAATTATAGGCTTAATTGCCCAGGGGAAAAAATATTAAATATTAAAAAATTGAATATTGATCGCCACACTTATTAAATTTGGTAAAATTAAAATTGTTAAATTCCTTTTCTTTTCAATTATCTAAAAATAATATTAGACGTTAAAATAAATATTTTTTTTTTTTTTTGCAAATGATATCCTTGTTTAAGCGTTTATAATCGTAATAAAAAAAGGACTACACGTTCGAACTTCGCGTCAAGCCTTGCGATTTTTTCACTTCTCAGGTTCGATCCGAAATAGCGTAATTGTCTATTAATTATTCATTTCACTTTGGACATTATGTCAAGGTTCGAGTATGGTGAAGAAACGCAAATACGAAACGGAATGTAAGAAGCAGAGTCCACGCTAGAATTACTTCTTTCGCGATAATCTCGTATTTCCATTGATGTTCTTCAACCCTCCTTCAAATATCAATAGACACGAGAATTGAATCTGAAAAGGTAACCGGTAAACGAAAATTGCTGTGATCTGTTCTTGCAACACGTGGATCCTTTTGCGTTCTACGACCCGCTCTACATTTCGACAGCTTATGATCTCTGTGACGATGATGCAACTAAAATTAAGCTTACAATGTAGCGATAAAAAGGGATCGATACCTTGTCGCGTGCGCGTTGGCGAATATTTTGCGACACGAGCGGACGTCTCTTGCGATTCGCGAGTCGCAGTCTATACGCGTCGTGACTATGTATCTCCCTCTTTCTCTCAACTCAGATTTGCGAACGAAATACATACGTCACAACGAATTTCCGAATAAATATTACTCTTTATGATAGCTATATCGATTATGTGGCGGTAGCGGTATTAGCTGTAAAAGATAATTGCAGTGGTGAATGGCGATAATAGCAATGTAGTACTCATAATAACAGCAATAGTCATAATAATTGTAATTACTATAATAGCAGCAATAATATAATAATAATAATATAATAATAACTGTGATAATAATAATAAGTCAATAAGATCCCCTAACACATTTAAACAATCGGTTTTGTAAAACGTCATAATAGAATACGAAATAAAAATAAGGATCTGAGAAATTAGATATTCTAACAAAAGTGTCTATACAATATTTATCCGTACATAGTGCAACATAACGTACTGTCGACCAGTCCTCGATATCGTACACATTCTATGAACAAAATTTAATTAAACTATAATCTTATAATAAACGTATCGATATAACAAAAATTATCGATAATATTGAAAATAATAGTAATGTAGCAGTACTAATAACAATAATAACAGCAGCAGTAATAATAATAATAATAATAGTAATATAGAAACTAATGTATTGCTCTCTTTCTCTCTCTTTCTTTCTCTCTCTCTTTATCTTTCTCTCTTTCTCTCTCATGCTCTCCTACTAATGATATTTATAATTATAATTATTAATGATAATAATAAAATAATTATAGCGATGAGAAAAATGATTGCTATTGCCAATGAAGATGACGTTGGTGAAGACTGTGGCGGCGGCGGCGACGATGACGATGACGGTGACAATGAGATAATCATAATGATACATAAAGCATAATATATAAAACTCTCTGGCGATGAATTAGAATACACAAGTATCTCCTTCTTTCTCTCTATAATATGGGTAGACTCGCGGAAGATATGTTTAATATACGTACAATGATGTCCATAATAGTATCAGAAATAACGGACGTACAATGCGTAAAGCGAAGAGATACGTAACTGCTGTGGATGCGAAGTCTTTTTCCAAGCGTCGCAAGAACTCTGTTTCAGCTCAATTTTGCTCTCTCTCTCTTTTTTTCAAAAGAAAAATTCCTTTACATTTTTCTTTACTTCCTATACGGATGGACAGAAACAAATCCACAGCTATTACGAGCCCTTCTCCGTGCCTATTACGTTGTATGATACATTAAGAAAATAGCGCATACCTCATTCGTTTACGCTCGTGCGACTTATGATTCGATTACTCGCAACAGCTCGTACACGCTCGACGTGCCTCCTTAATCTAATATGTACACAGATATATCGTATACAAATACGTATACGTACACACATACATATACATACACATATACACTTCAATTACACGTTGGAGATGTGGTCACGTGGATTCATCTCTCTCTCTCTCTCTCTTTCTCTCGCTCGCTCATTTGCTCAGAAGTACACGTATGTACATTCAAGGGTACATCGAATTCTCCGACGTCGTTTCGTTCACTGAACGACACGACGACGTATGACATTTGAAATCTCGCTAAGTTCCCATTGGCCCGAATAATTGGATTGGATGGTGAATTGACTGTAGACGGTGTGTTGTGCTGCACTCGTCAGATATTCGTCAAGCTTAATGGCGCATCACGCGCATCATGCATTACGCCGACATAACGCATGTTGATGCAGCGACATAATGATTTTGTCATAACATAACAAAATGTGTGATATATGTATATATGTGTACCGAGATATATATATCGTATGTAACAAACTTTATCGCCATTAGTGCGACCTATATACGTTTCTTTCGAATATCTGACTGGTGAAGCAACCGTCCCCGTATAGTCAAACGGATTTAATTAATTCTTTAATTATAATCTCGCATTGCATATTCGATAAGAACGACATGAGGTAATGCCCTATGTACATAAAAAAGAAAACAAAGTCGACAGTTAGCAATAAAATTTTTGGTACAAGTAGAAAAGATCCATACTATGTAAGTTCTTAGTTATATTGAGCGTAAATAACCAACCGTTATTAATCCTAGGTTCTCTTGTTGATACGACAATCGTCATTAAACTGACACGACATTTCATCTCTAAGAACTATCGCACTATTAGTTACCCATTAGACAGTAATGATATTTTCTTTTTCTTAGCGTTTCACCATTTCTTTTCATCTATTTTTTTTTTTGTAATTTTCATTTCTTCCGATAAATTTAAAAACTTTCGTAACAATAAATTTACACTTAAGATTTTGTTAATATTAATTATGGCACAATTTAAATATTTTATTTAAAGTCTTTTTGAAGACATAATAAAAATAAATCTAAGTAGTCTTTCTCCTATGCACGACGTTCTTTCTTTTTCTTTAATTTCATATAATTACATCGCTATTTCGTTTTATTGATTAGCATTGACGCGTTTCTTACATCTCTTTGTTTTCCTTTTATAGTTCCATTTGATCCCCCTTTTGGAAAATAAAATTTCTTTTCTCTTTTCGTTAAAACCGAAGAGTGTTCCTAAACAATCGATTTACAACTTTCCCGGACTCTCGTGATATTCCCCATACTATAGAATTATATGAACCGCTATTGTCAATTTAGTATCGGCTTTCCACAGCCATTGGCTTACCACCAAACCAAAAAGTTGCGTTTTCACAATAAAATAAACCACGGAATTAAACGAAAATAATTCAGCCGAAATCTCGATGGAAACTTATCGATATACCATAAATGCGACCTTCGCGATTCTATATTTTCCAAGGTAAATACCACTCGCGTCGGAGAAAGTCTTGCAAAGTTTTCTCGATGCTCTCTTTGGTAATATAATATCACATAATGAAAGAAAACTTTAAACCAATTAAAAAAAAAAAAAACAGGAAAAAATCTAATCAGTCAGTTCCTCTAAAAGTAGGAATTAAAAACGAGGAAACTAATAGAAATAAATTTGAGTCTTTAAATAAATCGACGATTAAAACGATTACAAAAATCAGCCTTCTCAAAAGTAAATTCGCGTATCAAAGTATTCGTCACAGCGCCAGAAAGTAAACTTGACCTCTTCAGTTATATCGATTCGAATTACGCCGAAGAACCCGTTCGTCGAAGAATGGGTGACTAACTTAGAAGTGGCTTTTTCAACGGGTCAAAAGGAAGCTGTTAACAATGCGGGTATGGCGAACACACCGGGGTGTGCACGCACCGGAAGAACGGTCCTGCTTTGAATGGTTATATGGCGTATATAGCCTGCTGACGATGAGATTGCACCATTTTGTCGCCGGTCGAGAGGCGAGTTCGCGCGAAAACGCGTAATTCTAAGTGAACGGCAACTGCGTGGATCGCAGAGAGAGATGCTGCGGTCTCTCCGTGCGGTCCTCGATGCAGCACGCGCGTCGCACCCCTACCGCCGTGACAATGAATCCTGCTGAGTTACGCGGTCAGTGTTGTAAAATAACAGTTGATCGGCCCTCGCTCGCGCGAAGAAATGCGCGGTTCCTTCACATCTCTCTAGCACGAGTACGTACACGCACGAGTTGTACACAGGATGCGAGCGAAAGATAACGTTTAGATAGAATCGAATAATATTTTCGCCGCGTGTCGCTCCTTCTCGCGATTTTTCGGGAGTTTTTCCCGCTTACGATAAACCATACAAGACGAAAAGTGTTTCATATATATTAAAAATCCCAAAAAGATCTCCACGATAATTTTCCACTTTTTTTTTAAATCGTACCTCAGACATATCCTAATGATTAATATTGATAATATTTCTCCTCGACGGGAGAGACGGGGCGCGTACCTATCTAAAATTTCGCCGTGTAAACGGTTCGGGACCTTGGCACATTCCGATAAATAATCTATAGTCATTCTCTGTTTTTTCCTCTCGTTTTTTTTTCGCGTTCACGTCGGCGTGTAATGGGTCGTTTACCCTGCAGCAGTTCGCATGCAGCTCGTGTGCATGTGGACCTGTACAATATATGTGAGCGATCACATAAACACGTCTACATACACACTCGTGCGCGCATACTTATCCACCCAACACGCGTGTGCAAACTGCACTAGACGTTTACACTAGACTAAAGTCTATCATGCGACGAGTGGCAACAGTTGATCGTTCGTGCGTCGTTTTTAATATACTTATCACGTCGTCTTAGTGGAGAGAAAAATATATTCCTCGACCTAATGCACGGATCTATGAAATTTGGAACTGCGTGTGACACAAGATCAAAGTTGCCGATCGAATCGAGCTTGCCCTTGTCACATCCATCAATTAATAAATAAATAAGTCAAATTTAAAATAAACGACGCATTTTTTCCCTTCAAATCGATAAATCGATCAGCGGTTGCCCGACACCCCGTTCTTATCCCCCATATCTCGAAAATTTCAAAGCAATAAGATGAAATTTTTTTTCCCGATACAGTTTCGCCTCTTACAATACATCGTACAACACCGAACATCGACATAAATTCCGTATACTTTTTTTTCCATTCACATAGCTTTCGTAATCGCGCTAGTATACCAACCGAAGAACATCACAGAAATTTCCCGACATTATTTAATAATCAATTATTAATTTCCTTTCTTTCGTCGCTAAAAGAGTTTTTTAAAAGTACGCCCGGCGATATCATAATGTGGACAGACATACGCTTTTTTTTTTAGTCTCTCTCTTTTCGTCTTTCGTCGAATCGTTTGATGCCACGATCCCCGATATCACAGAATCACAAAAATTTCCGGAATGACTAGGATTTTCTTTTTTTCACTAACCAATCGCGCATCCTTAGCTCAAAAAATGACTTTTTTTCTTCTTTTAAGAAAAGAGGAGAAGAAAGACAAGAAACGTAAAATCTCGCGGCTTCTCGGCCGCACTTCGTTCAATCGATATGCCCTCCACATTATGCCCTGGCCAAACGTCACCGATCGAGAATCGGTCCACTGATTTAAGAATGTATACGTAATAATTATAAAATCTCTCGGTAGAGATAGCTAAATATCTAAAATCGTATATTTTTTTCACAGTATACTTCACACTTCGAAGATATGTTTGGAAACTCGTGCTTACCCTTTTCCTTTTCTCCCGCGCATTTTCTTCTTCTTTTTCCATCCCCCTTTAATCATTTCGTCCGGCCACGAATGAAATTCGAGGCAGACCGTGATCCTTTCCCGCCGTTTCTGTTTTTCCCCTTATTCCGCGCTTCCGTTAAATATTCCCTTTCCGATACTACGCATCCTAAGAGTTAGACGTAGACATAATTTATATTTTCCACGATAATTTGTACTTGCTCGTTAATTATTATGGCATTTCCTTTTTCGCCTTACAGATAAAACATCAACATTTTCTCGTTCTCTACGCTGAGTTTTAAACCTGAATATGTTACGATGAACAACTTTTAGGGTTTCCTCTTGCTTGTACATTTGTTAATGTGGATATATTAAAGTTCGAGGTGCAGAGCAGTGCTCCATAATCTCTCAGTGAATTGAGGCCACTTCGACCGTTTGGAGTCCGATTTGCGGAAAACGCTTTGCGACGTAACGGAAAACAGACAGACGGAATGTAAACGGAACAATTCCCCCTTGGCTTAATTGACCCGACTGATTTTCTTGGTAAAAACCGTGCGTTTGCAGAGATAGCTTGAAATGCTCGTTAAAAATGCGAAAGGCGATCGGGAAGCGGGTTGTAAGCTCCGCAGCACTGCTCCGCCCATCCGCGAGAGATACCTACGTAGGACTATGCCGATTTTTATAAAATCTGAACAGGAGAATATCATCGTTTATCGATGTATCGTACGAATATAATATATTTACAGCTCAAAATATTACTTTTAAAGAGTTAAAAATATAGTTTGTATTTAGCGCATACGACGAATCTACATATACACGTTAAGAACCCATGATATATCTCTACCACCTCCGCGTCTATACACGCTCTCCCGCCTTTCTCTTCTCTCTCGTTTCGTAAAACCGATATCGTCCCCCCCATCCCCTGCCTTCTATGCTAATACGACGAGTTCCACGTCGATTAGCAACACGTCTCGACCTCAATTGCCGCCGTTGCCGCGATCACTTTTCACCGAATTGACGTCACTTTTGCGTGCATTTCGAACGCGTCGGTGCATCCTCGCGCTTTGTTTCGCCTTTAGGCCTAACGTCGTCGATTCGCTTTGTCTTCCCCCCCACGCCCCCTCTCTGTCCCGTTCAGAATCGATATACATACGCGTAAAAACGACCTCGGCGCGTCCGCGGTTCGGCCGCGTGAAAGTGCATTCGGCATGCACACGCGCGTACGTAACACGCATCGGGACGTGTGGGTTTTCGACGTCAGATTGTGGTTTCCCCTCGGTTTCTCGCCCGTTCGTCCGCCAATTCGACGTTTTAAACGCCCAACGGGTTAGGCGCATTTTCGTTCGACGTGAAAACCGTTAGGCGCGCGTCTCGAGAGCGCCGATACAGAAGAATTCGCAACGTAAATTCGATCTCGGAAACGATTTCCGGAAGACTGTTCCCTCCCCAAACATCCCGTCTTAATTACGCCCTTTTTCTAAACTTTCCGCTCGGGTGCTTTTTGGACAACGTTAGCTAAGAGAAAAAAATAAACTCGCGGCGGGATAATGTCGTCCTCGAAAACGCGTCGTCCCACGCGTAGATTCTCCGCTCGAAAATTTGCCGGGCAGTCGGCCGTTTTGGTCAACTCAGTGTCACCAGCATCCTGATCGCTGACAATGGAATGTGTCTTTGTTTCGCGCACTATAAATCTTAACGTTCGAGCCTCCTCTCCTTCCTTCACAGTTTCAGTCGAATTACAAGCTTCTCAGTCAAATTGTCCTTCTTTGGATTCATTGCAGTCTTGACGAAGAAAAATTACAACGCTACATTGGCGAGTCTAAACTAGAAGAATCGCGCGCTTGCTTTCGGTGGACCGACGGAAAAGCGAGGGGGAAAACTGGGAGAAAATGCCGAAATGACTCGTCCGCGATTCCGGATTCCATGTACTCTCCGCTTTCCTTCCTTCTCTTTAATCCGTTTCTCATTTAAAGTCTTACGATAACCGATCACGATAGGCATTATGCGCTCCGCAGATGCGCGTAATAAGGATAAATTAATCGTTGAAATTACGAGAACTTTGCCGCAATTTAACAAGAGACTGAATTTCCCTCTTGAATTTACTAATCTCGATTTAGCAATTCGCAGTCTCTTCTCCCGAATTACGAACCTAAATACAGCGTAGACGGAAAAACAAGATCTCGTTAATCCAGGTTGCTGCTAAATTCACTTCAATTCAACCAGCTCGTAATATGAATCGCATCGATCTCGGTTAATTAACTCAATCAGCGATTATCCGCCCAGTTCTGGTTTACCAGTAACGTAGATAGAGGAATTGTTTAGAAATGATCTGTGGTCTGTGCTAACCGACTTTTGCGCAAGTCGCAACTTAAGAGCGTGGCGCGATTTAATTAAATCAAAGTTCGAGCTAAACGACTTATTGTGTGCTGCTCAAAGCGGCACGGGAGTATCCCGGATACGCAAAGTAGTACTTCCATGTTCTCTCGATAGTCTGGCCTTGATTCTCGGGTTGCGTGCCCGACGATGTCAATCGAGCGATTCGCGCGAGAAACGACGACGATAGCAGCGCGACGACGACGGCGACGGCGACGGCGGCGATGACGACGACGACGCGGACGATCCGGCACAGGGTGACTTTGATTTTTCCGACGTTTTCATTGCGGTTGCTGCTGCATCTGCATCTGGTGTTGCATGCTACCGAAGACGTTCTTCATGGCCGAGGCCTTTAGAAGCCGCCTCAGCACGCCGCTGGTGCCGCGGTGCTGCAGGCTCTTGTGTGTCGTCAGCGAGTTCTTCGTACGGTACGTACGGTTGCAGAACTCGCAGACGTATAGCGTGTCCGATTGCTCGTGTTTGTCCTGGAAGTGGCGTTTGAGGGAGTAGTAGCATGAAAACGTGCGACGGCAGTACGGGCATTCCTGAGGCTCGTTTATGCCACCCGCCGTGGGTGGTGGCATTCGGTACATGACAGTGGGAGGCGTCGTCGGTGCCGGATGCATCCCGTTGCCCGTACCTGAAACGCATCCAGATCTGTATAAGATCGCTCCTCGCGAGAGTTATCCACAGTTATCCGTCAGGATTCGGTACACACGTCGAAACCGGTATAATTTCGATGAGAGTTAATTTCACAATGCTATAAACACGGGAAATAGAGATCTTTACGCTGTCGACGTATAAGATGCGCTTTTTCTCTCGCGTGTCTAGCACATATGAGATTAGAGTCGTCGAAATTATAATGGCTTCGATTCCTCCGTTAATTGCTTCGTCTTATAGATATTGTAAGAATACGATCGGCCATCATAGTGACGGTCCGATGACACATTGGCAAGGTGCATCGATCGATTAGAAGCTCAGAGCTGGCACTTCCATGTCTCGTGTGAAGGCTGAGCTAGTTTCATCTTAAAAACACACTACATTTACTCGTTTAATTGCAAGTATAAAAAAAAACAGTTCGCTTTTAAATTAACTTAGAAACAGCGTTAAAAGTGTCGAAATTCGATTTTCAAAAATCAATCCGATTTAAATCGTTACAGCTAATTTACATCGTACTTAATTTTATAAGCAATACGAATATTATAGTATGAATAACGAGTAATGTATACTAAACAATAATTTACATAATTTAATATAGCAAGAATCATACAATAATGCATATTAAACTTGGAATTACCAACTCTGATTTATCAGTTTGAAAGGAAAATAATTCAGAATGATGAAGTTGTGTAGAAATCGCAAAGCTCTGTATAGATAAATTAGATAAATTTATTAGATAATAATATTCTGCTGTTGTGAATTTTATCGAGTATCCAGAAATGGGACACGAGATGCCAAAAGATCCCAATTGAGGAAGAGGAAAAATGAGAGAAGGGATAAAGAAAAGGATCTATGTATTATACCGCGTGCATCGAATTAGTGATTAGTATGCTTTAGCGTATTAGAACCAATCCGTTGATAGAAGTTACTAACGAGTTTGTGTAGTGCGACATATTATACAGGTGCTAAAAATTAAGCACACGCTACTTTTATTGTTAATCATGTCATTAATCGGATGAATAATAAATCTCCAAAGACATGTTAAATAGTCAAAGATTGAAACCGAACAGTCTCAAGCTTTCGCGATCGCACAAGTATATAACGTCCTTCGCGTTAAGAAACTTCACGATAATTCTGGTTATTCGATGTTCGCCTAAAAAAGGGGCGATTTCGTATCGGTTCCCGAATTTATAAAAGATGACAACAGAAAAGCAGAAATAATAAAAATGCTAATAAATAATCAGAAAAAAAAACAGTCATCCAATAAACGTAAAACGATAACCAAAAACAATATTGAAAATTATATCGTATTTCTAGCGTACAATGTTCGCCTAGCGAGAATTCATTGACGAATGTCGCTCTCGCATAAAATCCTAAACATGCAATTTCTGCCAATCGTGGCGATTGCATCGAATCGCCCCAATCTCATTTCAAATAATTCAATTCTCATATCTCTCCCACCGACGTATCGCGTACTCTCTTCCGATTCAACGCGAGGATTCAACAGTATTAACATAGAAAAATAATCAAGAAATGCGAATCAAGACAAACACGTAGCCAAAGCTACAAGCAAGCAGATAGCAGGCGGACAATCAGATGGACATGCAAACAAGCAAGCAACGAGTAGGATGAGCAGGTTGGTAGATTGACTGAAAGAAAAGAGATTGTGAGGAGGCACGAAATGTGGACGTCACACAAACAGAAAAGAATAAGAAAGACGTAGATCAGTTAGGGTCTTCGTAATAGATTCCTGTCTCTCGGAGAGATGATCGATCATTCTTAATATGTTAGCACCCAAAAGTTTTTTAATTCACCGTGTCCATCTCTACCTATTCCCATGACTCTTTGCATCAGAAAGTCAACTAACGTGTTATTCCAAGAAGATAACAAAGATTTAACAGAATTATCAACAATCTTGCAACTCACTAACAGAGTGTAGCAGTTTTCAATGTTTTTAGTATTGTGTAATGACTTCGATAATATCAGCGCAATGATTTTTATAAAATTTTATACTAAATCTACGCAGATGAAAGAATTGTTACGATGAAGTCTTCGACACTTCAATTATGTGACGTTACACATAATAGGCTGAAATAGGAAGTAATAATTCCGTCATTTTATCCCATGATGACCCTATTATAACAGTATAATGGCAGTAATATTTGCGCGACCAATATGAAAGTAATATGAAAGCAACAATAGCATTCATAATCACTTTCATTTGCTACGTATAACGTCACAGTTGAAGCGCCGGTGTCTCTGTTATATTAATGACACATACATTTCCCAAAGAATGCGAAATGTCCAAAAGAGTTGTAAAATACCGAACGTTCGAATTGTCTTTAGCAAGACTTTCCAGACTTCTATCTCTTTAGCAGACTTTTGAAAAAACCTATCCGTATTCATGTTGTTATCAATGCGCCGATGTAGCTATGCGGCATGCTGCTTTACTGATGCATCGGGAATTCGAGTCACTGACAGCAGGTATAACGGACCGGCGAATACCGGAAGAACTCGATCAGCGGCGCGTACGGTACCGAAGGGGCGCGAAGGACGACGGGATAAAAGGAAAGAAAGCAGTTACGCGAGCCGGGATGCGGATACGACGATGCGCGAGACTCGAACCGTAAGGCGAACAAGAAGAGAAAGAAGGTCCCGCGTGCAAGTCGAGACCGGTTTCTCGCCGTGGCATGCACCATTCGCGGAGTGCCGGTACGGAACGAGGAGGAAAAGGAAACACAAGCTTTCCGTACGTCGGGACAACGACGCGACGGCGGGGGTCGTCCGACCGAGTCGGGGAGAAGGACGATGTATCTTTTGACGATGCGCGAGATGGAAAAAAAAATTTAGAATGAGAAATAAATCTCAAAGAAGGCGCGATCCGGGAAACAAGCGTGCGCGTTTCGGTATATATTTGCGGATATGTACCTAAGAAGGAAAGAGAATATAAAAAATAGATACTGAGAAGTAGAGAAAGAGAATAAAAGAGGAAGAGAGGGAGAGAGAGATAGAGATAAGATAGAGAGAGAAAGAGAAAGGAAGGAAATGTGTACTTATGTTTGTTAAGTCGTATAGGAGTGAGTTTTGAGAGACTATGTTAAAAATCTTCGAAATGCTGTGCGCCATAGGTGTGTTTAGCGTGGTCCCTACCTTATCTAAACCTTCAAAAGAACTTAATGTCAATGTCGCCGGGCCTGCTCTTATGATAAGTATATATATGGGTCATCAGGGAATTACGCGAGCAGTACACCCGCTCGCAGATGACGCATCTGTACTCCTCCTGTCGTTCGGCGTGTTTGTCGGCAACGTGGCGTTTCAGGGATGCTTTGCTGCATAGTACCTTGCCGCACAGTTGGCAGGTGAACAACTTCTTCGCTGACTGGGTGTTCAGAGAGTTCAAGGTTAGCCCCGTCATAGAGGTGAGCACTGAAACACAACAACGCACCTCTCATGCAGCTGCACACCCCCACAACACACTTAAACCCTATACCACGACCGCCAAGAGAAAAAAAAAATTACGGCCGCGTACGCGAATCTCGCTCGAATGCTCCTTTCGGTAGGTAGTGTCGTGCTTGTATCCGCTCGACTATGCTTACGTGATCTCGATCGTGCGGTTCCTTTTGCAGCTCGAAAACGGTAGGCGCGTATCTATTTATAAAGCTCGTATCTTCGGAGACCGATCGGAACAGTTTACGGTCGTCCGTTCGTTATGACGATCAATATCTTGTAACAGGTACATAAACGTGACAGGTATCATAAATTTTTATTCAATTACGAAACTACTGTGAATGTTCCACGCTCAAATAATCGTACATCATTAATATTTCTCTGCAAAGTTTCACTTTATCTCGTTCTTTTTTATCTCGCGATAGATCGTTGCCAAAAGCGAATATCTTCGCGGCGATTTTAATCCTCTTACATCGCGCTTGTAAAGAATTTGAACGAACAACGTGTACGGGTTCGAAATTCATTTTCAACTTAGTCATAAAGATTGGAGAGAAATTTTTGATAAATTAATTTTGCAAATCCGACGATCAGCGCGTGACTGTGGGGAAATCAACCCTTTTCTTTGCTGCCGCGATCTGCCTCACCTCTTCGTCTTCACCTTCTTCTATCTTCTTCTATTGGATCACGCCCCGCGCATTAATCATTCCATTAAAAACGAGACTCGCGTCCTTTAGAAAAGCAATTATGCGCGTTACGGCACGTCCTTGAAAACAAAAAGGGGGGAAGAATCGGAAAGATGTGAAGGAATCGACGGCGCGCGCTGTTTCTCTTCGTGGAGAGCGAAGTAAGAACTTTCTTTAACGGCGACTTTCCTCTCCCCGGCCTTCTTCGGGACCTTCGGTCAGTGCTAATGCGGAAAGAGGAAACGGGACAAGAGGAGGCGCACGCACATGCATGAAATTATTCACATACGCACACGCAAAGTACACGGATGATCACACGCACGGGGCGGGCGGCACGCCGAAACGTTTCGCACAAGTGTACACCATACGTGAATGTGTGCATGTACGTTCGCGGGAGGAAAATTGCGGGGAAAAGAAGGCGGATGACGCTGTTTTATAGAATTTGTGCGTTTAATTTCTCTTTCATACGCGAGAGATTCGACTCTATTGTCATTAACACGCGACATTATTACAAGTCATTGCGCTCTGGTGGCTCGAGAGAGTTGCGTTATTGCGATCGTGGATTTTCATACGCGCTACGCATATTTTTCGATGTGTGTCCAAAATGTGTTCCAAACGATTGTCGATTCATTTGTTAAATATTCGACGAACATGAATGTATCGCATTATGATGCCGTAATAGATAGTATTGTTCTGTTACATGAACATTAGAACAGTCTCATGTCGGTATACGTTGTCTTACACATGTTACGTAGCATTTTTCATATTTCGTGTTTTCTTTCTTATTAATTGAATCCATCATAATTACCTCAGAATAATTTGTCATTAATTATTCAAAATCCTAGCAACG